GCCCCCCCCCCAGCCCTCCTCACCCAGCTGAATGGGCAGAGGCCAGCCTTTCACACACATTACACCAGAGAGAGCCACCAGGGGGCGCCAAGTGGACTCTTTTGTATCCTCTCCCTTAGAACTAGCCGCACTTCTAATTCCGTTGTTAACAGCTCGGCACTCGGGCTCTCCCGTGGGCAGAACACGGTTACAGAATTTCTTGGGACTGATCCGCAACCGCTTTTAGTTGAGGAGAGGCGGGCAGAGGCGTAGGGTAGGAGCCAAGAGGAAAATCACTCCTTTCTCCTACTTGGGTTCCCTAAGTATACGGTCATGGTCTGAGCCCTCCCAGTGAAGGCACCCTATTCATGACTCAGAATGTTCTACTCTCAGGGACCTTGGCGGTCTGACCCAGGCTGTAGGGATCCTGTCAACAGGTCACACGGCCCCTGATTGAATACCTGGAATGACAGGGAGCTCGCCACTTGAGGTTAGCCGTTCATGGCCAAACTCAGCGGACCTTCAGATACCTAAGGACAATTCTCTCCCCCAAGGACAGGTCCCCCGAACTCCTGAGATTGTCACTATCAGTCACCCTCCTGTCAAGAGCCTTAGTCCCTGTGCCAAATGGAATGACGCTCCAGTGCTGAGTCCGAGCAGGTTGTCACCTCCTTTGTTTTAAGGCACAGGCCTCTGTTAACACTTTTCTTTTGTGATTTCTTTCAGCTTGTGGTCAACCAAGACCCCGCGACCCGAGCAGCTTTACCCAGGGCTGGCCCCTAATCCTTGTTACCCCCTTTCCCTGCAGATTTGCCCTTAATCTGGGCCAGGGGTCATCTAAAGTGGACCTGCATTTCAACCCACGCTTCCATGAATCTGTCATCGTCTGCAACTCACTGGATGGCACCTGGGGGGAGGAGCAGAGGGATGGTCACATGTGCTTCAGCCCAGGGTCAGAGGTCAAGGTGAGGTCAGAGGGGAGAGGCGCCCGAGGAGGATGTCAAAGAGAGAGCCCAGGTTGGGGGGGGGCACCCTGGCCTAGACATGGGGTTTGGCACTGTTGAGGCCAACCCCGGGGCTGCCGTGGCCCATTTTCCAGGGCCTCCGGCCTCCCTGACACCCTCCCTCCTGCCGCAGTTCACCGTGACCTTTGACAATGACGGATTCAAAGTGAAGTTGTCAGACGGGCACCAGTTGACCTTTCCCAACAGAATGGGCCACAGCCACCTGAGCTACCTGAGCATACAGGGTGGGTTGAGCATCACCTCCTTCAAGATCGACTGAGCGGAGAGCACCTCACCGGAGTCAAAGAGCCCACTGCGGATTCCCGATCCTTCCCGATCCTGAGCTCCCACTCAGTCACAGATCAGCGGCCGCTGAGTCCCGGCTCCTGATCAGCAGTTCCTGCCCCTGGGACCCTACTTCCCTCCCCTGAGGCTAAGACCAGACAAAAGAAGCCACCTTTACCTAGTCTTCCTGCGTCAGTGCTTGTGGTGATTTCCATAGTGCTCCCAGCAGCCTCATGCGACAGGGAAGCAAACTGAGGCATAAGGTCGGAGGGCTGCGAGGTGGGGGTTGGGACATGCTCCCAAACACCTCTAAGCACCCGCTGCAGCCTCTCGGTCCCCAGTTATCACCGGGGCAAGTGATTCGTGATTACGGAGGGGGGATTACGGAGCAGGCCCCCCGTTCCAGGCACCTGGGCCAGGGGCTGTTCCAGGAACTGTAGATAAGGGCTTCCACCTGGGCCTCTTATCGCTGGAACATTCATTCCAGCCTGGTTACTCATTACCCCCTGCTTTGGCCCCTCCCCTCGCTGGGGGCCCTGGGGGTGTGGGTTTGGGGGGGGGGAGAGATTCTTTGGTTTTCCAAACCCGATACTGAAAGTATTTTAAGCAGGTGGAGCTGACTTTGTTCTCCCAAGTCCCCAAGCATCTTGCAGGACGCCTTTTATCAAAAAGCCTTTTTTAATCAGGACCCAGAAGCAGGTCTGGGGTGCACAGGAAGGTGGGATTCCTCCCCTGTGAGGTCGCACCTGACTTTTCTCTGGGGTTGGAATGTTGGGGAAGCAGCCTTAGCAAGGGGTGGGGCTCTGAGGGGTGCAGGAGGGACCCTGCTGGGGGCAGCTCTGGGATGAGCTGGGGCAGGATGTCCCTTAGGGAGAGGAGACAAAGGCCCTGTGTGGTATGCTCCCCCCCCCCCCCCCCCC